GGGGTGCTGGGGCTGATTTTCCATTCGGTGCAAACAGCATCGTCTTTGAGTCTCACGGGTACATCTGCTGGAGCTGCTGCTTTTTCCTGTGGCTTTCAGAGACCTCAGGGTGTGATTTCTAGGCCTGACCGCACAATTACACTTCTGTGATTGTGGGCACGGGAGGGCAGATTACGCTTTCCAGGGATGTTGTAGAGGGCTGGACATTGCTGAGCCACAGCACTGGGGGGGGGGGGGGCTGGAAGGAACGCTGTATAAAGAGGGCTAACCCAGGCCCCTGGATTTAATGGAGGAGGAGGTGGGACCCAGAGAGCTGAGCTGACGGAGGTGCTGGGACTCAGGCTCTTCATTTCCAACTCTCCCTGTTCTGCTGTCCTGCTCAGTTGACCCCACCGTGACACCACCGCCTGGCTGTTGGCTCTGGACACTTAGGGACATGCTTCTTCCCCTAAATATCCTTGTTTATGAAATGCAGCAATTGCAGAATGAGGGGAGTTTGTCTGGCATCTCGAGGGTGTAAGAAGCCACCTCAGGGCCAGCCTGGGAGGGTGGGGTGGAGATTCTCCTGGCGAGCAGGATGGCCGTGGGATGATGGACGGGCGAGGAGTCGATCCCTTCACTGCCCTCTTCAGTCACCACAGCTCAGCGTCTCTCACGCTGTATTTCCATAGAAGATCTTTTAAGCAAAAGTCTTGTGGAATTAAAAAAAGATTGGTGAACTAGGTGGTCACAGGAACCTTTCCCAGTTCTGACATCTTGTAAATCTGTGTATTCCTAAATAATTATTCTGTAGAGATGGGGAGGAGGGTGTGTGTGTGTGTGTGTATGTGTCTTAAGCCTGTGTGTCGACCCCGCCCCCCCCCCCCCCAGTAGATAAGACACCTTAGGAGTTTCTGTCTTGGCACCGTATCCCTCTACTTCTAGTTTGTAGTCGCATGGTTCACATTTCAGTAAATTGTTACTTGATCCTTTAGATTTTACACAGTTTCCTATAATCCTGGCAAAGGAAGTGCAAGATGAGTCATCATCCCCATTTCACAGTCAAGAAAACTGAGGAAAGAGAAGTTCGGAACTTTGCCAGGTTCATACAACTAGTTTGTGGCTGAGGCAAGCTTGGTGTGTAGGATCATCCGTACGCAGGAGCGGTGATCTTGCCTACGGGACAGTCTTACCTCTCTGACCTCACAGTGACACTTTAGATGGTATTCTCAGCAGTGGACACGTGGAGCTCCTGGAAGTCTATTTCCAATGACTTTCCAATGCCACATAACCCCACAATGAGACTTTGTAGATGTCTATATGTTTCCCTGGTTTGGGTTGAGAACAGAGAACTGTGCTGTGGAGAGCATTCCCTGGTTTGCTGTGTGAGCTTAGGAAAGTCCCTTTACTTCTCTGGGCCTCAGCGAACTGGTGGTCACAGGTCGTATGGCATGCTGGAGCTGGATTTCAATCAATCTTATCAAGGTAGTTTTTCTCAATGAGGTGTCAGATGCCATCTGTTCCACAGCTGAGAAAGTCGTGGAGAGAGCAAAACAATATTTGTTGTGAGGAAAAAATAAAAGGCTTGGAAGAAAGCCAGAGCCAGGGCACTGCCATCTCTCCTGGAAACAGTGATGTGCATCACTGCTTGGTACCTAGGGAGTGGGGACCATGCATGGTCCAACTCGAGGGCCTGGGTGCCACAGAGGTGCGGAGGTGGCATGGGGCACGGCAGGTGTGCTTAGTAAATGCAATAGTGCCGATTGCCGAAGGCTTTTAATTCTTTCTGGTTTGACACCCCAATTTCCGTTATTTCAAAGTAGAGTTAACTCATTCAAGATCGGAGGCCCATCCCGCGTTGAGATTCTCAAGAGGTGCTGGAGCAAGATCTGAGTGCAGGTTCAGATCCTGTCACTCCAGCCGGACTGTGGGACCTTGGGCAAATGCCTTCACCTCTCTGAGACTCAGTTTTGTAAACTATAATACAGGGATCCTCAGGCCACATACTCCCAGAGTCTTTGCGAGGTCACCCTTGATGTGGCATATGTAGAATACGTGATGTTTGTGACATTCTACCATATACGTGGACTACGTGATGTTTATTACAGGAAGCAGTGAGGTTCGTTTCTTAGGATGTAATTACCTTCCCTGGAATAGGGCCAGAGACCGAGTGGTTGTTCCGTCGATGTTTATGGGGATGAATGCATTGGATATTCTTGGTGAACCATGTTAACCCAGGGAGACATCTACCTATTAAATATCACGTATTCTAGTGTCTTCTTATGGCCACTATTTTTAACACTACTTGAGGTCTTCTATGCATAGTGATCTGTAATTATTGCTTGGGTGAGAACAGAAAAAGGAACGATACCATTGTTTATAGAGTGCTTATTCTGCTCCGATTTTCTCTAACGCCCCCACCAAGCCTAACTGGTGGGCAATACAACTCCTTTTTTTCCCCCTAAATACAGAAACTAAGTTTCAGAGAGGTTGAATAACTTACCTGGGAGCACACAGCTGATAAGTGACCAATCCTCTGCCCTCTCCTAGTGCCTTCTGGGAGAAAGGAGAAATTGATTCCTGGTGTCTTTAAAAGCACCATGGAGTTATTCACAGGAAGGTAATGCATGCTCTCAAATGGGAATCGTATGTGGCATGAGATGCAATCTTGCAGCACAGGTAGGGAGACAGGGCAGGTAAGTGAGGAACCGGAAGGGAGTGAGCACCCAGTGGAAGGCACAGAATCACGTCCCCTCGCTCCCAGGTTGGGGAGCTCTCCTCCTGCCTGCCTGAACCCTGGCGTTGATGGGGTGCCTTGACAGTGGATGCAGTATGTCTACATCCGGGAGCTCAGGGAGCTGGATATGGAAGGGCGGAAGATCTACGTGATCCTGGCCAAGAGCACCTCCAGCAGTCAGTTTCCGGAAAGGTCTGGTGTGATCCGGGTGAACCAGTACCAGCAGAGCCTAGCAATTGAGAGCGACGGCAAAGCGGGCAGCAGAGGTAAAGCCCGGACTGCCCTCATGAAGGCTGGGTGGTGGACAGTCCCCTCAGGTGCATGAAGCTTGTCCCCAGAGGTCAGGGGATGGGCACAGGAGCAGAGCAGACCAGGGCTTCATTCACCAGCCACACTTGGCTAGAGCATGTGGTGGGTGTTGAGACCTGACCCGACTCATTCTTCGCTGTCCCTATGAGATCTGAACACTAAAATAAACCAGAAGGTTCAGAAATTCTCCATAGGCTGATCCTGGGAATGCATATGCTGGGCCCGAGACTGAGCAAGAGGACTGACAGAAAGGTTTTGGAGAATGTGGCTCCTGCTCAGCACAAGCCCAGCAACTCAGGACCTGCCCCCCCCTCACCACCCCCAGGGAAGAGCCCACAGAGAGGGTCACATGGCACCCACCATACCTGAATGAACATGGCCTGTGTCTCCGGCAAAATCTGAGCAGTACTTCTGATGCTTGTTAGATTTGTCACCTAACTTTCCTGAATCTTCATTTCATCATTTCTGAAGTGGGGTTAATTTTGTCAGTTTCTTAGGGCTGTTAGGGTAATTAAACAAGAGACTATATCCCAATGTCTATCACTTGCTGGGTGTTTAATAAATAGAAGCAAAACACGCCTATGGCTATGTTTTCAAAAATGCTTCTAGCCAGGAGCCTGTAATCCCAGCGGCTCTGGAGGCTGAGGCAGGGGAAATCACAAGTTCAAAGCCAGCCTCGGCAAAAGCGAGACACTAAGCAACTCAGTGAGACCCTGTCTCTAAATAAAATACAAAATTGGGCTGGGGATGTGGCTCAGTGGTTAAGTGCCCCTGAGTTCAATCCCCAGGAATGCCCCCCACCCCCTCACCCCCAACCACGCTCCCCCCAAAAGTGATTTTATATAGAAATGCCTCAAGGCAGGTTGGTGGAGAGAAGTCCATGGCAATTTGATGCCACGTCTGCTCTCTCTGGGCCTGGATACGAAGAGGTAAGCTTTGCAGGGTCTCATTGCTGTATTTTTCCAGTGTCTCTCTCACGTTCTGAACTGTGCTTTCTTTTCCCCTCTAGTTTTCATGTACTACTTCGATAACCCAGGAGGCCTGATTCCGTCTTGGCTCATTAACTGGGTAGCCAGGGTGAGTTCCCAGGAGACTGGAGGGGGAAGTGTGTTTGACAGATGTTGACTCAGCGCACGGAGCTGTCAGGCTGAAGAGACACATTGTCTCAGGCGTAATGAGGCTCTTTTATGAAGACCTTGGTTCAGTGACTCCGGATAGGCCTGAAATTGCCAATAACCAGGACACAGGCTGGGACAGAAGACAAAGAACTGGGAGCTTGGAATGCTGTGTGGCCCCAGACCCTGCCAGGATCACATTCTGGAACCTCTGGACAAAAACTGCCGCCTCTAGGAACAATGGTGCTTTGGGACCTAGTATCTGCTTATGAAGGGTAGACAGGTCTTGGAGATGACCAGAGGTGACCAGGCCTGAAAGACACCAGTGGTTTGGTCATTGTTGCTATTTTTTAATTTTTTTTTTTTCTGTGAGGGGGGCGAGAAAAGCCGCCTGTCTACTTTGGAAGTCCAATAGTTGTGATTTTGAATCTTGGCTTTGCTATTGACTGTCTTATTTTATTTATAAAATCTGTGAATTTGTTCCTTTTTTAAAACCGGAGATGCATATTCCTTACCCACGGAGCAGATGATGGTCAAGAAAAGTCTTGCACAATTCCCAACATTAACAAAACAGCACGTCCTGCCCTCAGACCCCAGTGCCTTACTGTTTTCGAATGCTATGACGCAAGTCCTTTCCCTGACTCCTTTGGCCTCGCCCAATTCCATTTCCTGGGTTTTCCTTCTTCTTTTCAAGAAATGATGATTTTTTTTTTTTTATTAGCAAAAGTCCAAATGTAAGGCTGTGTCTTCTAACAGTGGTTTCTATCATCTAGTTTTATCTGTGCTCTGGGTCTGGCCTTTCGTCATTATCTGTGACAATGCTGGGCTCACACCGGAGCGGGGCTTTATTGGCTCTTTGCCACCATAGTTCACCTTTTGCCACATCTCAAAGAACCCTGCTTGATCACCAGAAAGACGTGGAAATGACCGTCTCTTTTCCCTTGCAGAATGGAGTTCCCAACTTCTTGAAAGACCTGGAAGAAGCCTATCACAAGTACCCCAAGAAAAAATAAAAGAGAATTGGGACCCTTACATATGCAGATTGACGTCTCTGCGGGTGCCACCACCTTCTGATGCTCAGCCTTCCTGTCAAATTTCCGCCTTCAGTGGTCTGCACGCCCTGCCTGACGTCTGGCTCCCTGGCCTGCTTCCTTTCCCACTCCTCCCAGCTCAGGCAGCTGCCTCCTTCTACCACTGAATGGGGGACAGATTAGGGAAACTTTTGCTTGTTTATTTTTAAAAAAGGGAAGTCCTCAGTAGGGAACACAGCATTCCATTGTGCCATTGTAGGGGGGATGGGTGGGTAAAGACAACAGAACCAGAATGATCATTCTTGGCAAGCTGGCCCTTTCCCAGAACTGCTGTCTTACAACCCAGGAGGGGCAGCTGGAAGTCACCCCTCTGTTCGAGCTGATCTTCTCCTCTGTGCCAGACTGGATACACTGATAGGCATGGGTCGTATGCTTTGTTGACTTGATTGTCGTGGGGTTCTTGGTGATAATCCTCTAAGTCTTTCCCTGCCCCTACTTGTGAGTGGCCATGGCTGTTGTGATATCACAGCACTTTGAGAAGCATTTGCAAGCCTGACTGGACACATAACGTGATGACCACTTTCCCCCCTCATTGTTCCTATCTGAGTTTCCCTCCTTCTTTCCCATATGCCGCTGGGAATAGGCTGCCTTTACCTTTTAGCTCTGCATTTTCCTGGAAACAGAGATGTCAAGATGGCAGTTAGCAAAAGCAAATATGCTTCGTGCCTAGCACTCTGCTAGTTTACCTTGGTGTGCAATAAAATAAATTTCCCTTCTAGAATGTCTGGAGACTTTGAAGTGACAATAGTTTACAACCAGGTAAAAATGAATTAGCAGCCTGGTTGACTCTGTAACTTTTTTCTCAGGAATTCTATCTAAGTTTTCTGCCTCTTCTACCACCAAAGGGACTCTCAGAGTCCTGTTTTCTCTGGAATTTTGGTAGGGTAAGATATGCTGTGGCTAAAGACACAGCACTGATCTTCTCAGGGAAAAAAATTTAATTACTAGGTGTGATGGTCCAAACCTTGGACATAGAAATTCAGGATATAAAGCCAGAGGACGGTATTTGTTAAAATGGAATTCCTGTTTGTATGCTTTCTCTCTGGGAAGAAAAGTGTATGAATAAATATGGAGTTGCTTATACTTGTCTTATGGTCAGCTTTCTTCCTACTTTCTCCCTTTTGTGGTAATGAACTGGTTAAGTTTCTTGTTTGCAATTGACATGCAACCTAACTTGTAGAATTGAACACACAAAAAAAAATAATTTGGGGCTCACTTTATGGAAGACCAGTGGTAGGTAGCTTTAGGTAGGGATTGCTAGAGGTGCTCAAATTTACATTAAAAATCAACTTTCTTCTTCAGTTTGCCTTTGACATTGATCTGCATGTGGTGGTAGGAATTCTGCTTACAATAATAGATAGGCCTATGTCTTTCCAACGTCATACCAAACCCTGCAGCCCCTCAAAAGACAGAACATCTTTCCAACAGCTCCTGCACTATTCCATAATATAGGTTTCTCCCTAACACATGTGTTTATCCATGCCCCAGTCATGTGGTCATATGGATAGGATTATGCAAATGAGCTAATGCTTCCTAAATTTATTATTATAATGTAATTCCTAGTAATGTAGCTAGAATTTAATTTTTGATCAACTAAACCTAAATGCCTCATGTTATGGAGGATAAGTTGAAACTTTATGTATAGATTCTTTGATATGCAAGCACTAAGGCTACAGACTGAATAGAATATTCCCATAAAGTGGTGCAATGCAAACCATTTCCTTGAGCATCATTTGATATTTTGCTAAGAACTCTGAAAACACTAATAATACCAAGGTTTTAGGTAAAGCACTTAAAAAAAAAAGTAACAGATTTGCTAAAATTAGTGGAATGATGCCTTTGGGGCTTGCTAGTTTAGAATAGAGGATGGTTCCATGCAGCACTGAAATATGGAGCATGTGAGAAACTGAGAGTCTCCAGCTATAGTAGATGCCAGAGGTACAGTAAGAGCAGGATTGGTCCTTCCAGGGTTGCCCCCGACTGTTCAGGATACATTTTCCCCTCAGTGATGGGTGTATCATTTGCATTTGGAAACTGTAAATACACTGTCATTCTGCCAGTACACGGTGGTACTTATTTTCCCATGTCTGTCTGTCAAAGTAGACAGACTTCTTGTGAGTAGAAAGAATTTCAACACTTTGATGACTGGCCCCAAAGGCAGCATATAGTAACTGAATGAATAAATGACTTAGAGAAAATTTGAATAAATGACAGAACCCTGAAGACTAAATCCAATTTGACATATATACAGGCTGATTTCAACAGAATGATTTCCCCCAAGTCTACAGTTTCAGGGGTTCTAAAATCCCAATCCCTCTTTCTCAGAAAGTACTGACGTCTTGTCGCCATTCGGGTGGCTTTGCTGGTGTGACTGCAGGTTCCAGTGTAAGGCTGGGGAAGTGTCGCGCTCTGGTTTGAGTCCAACTGAGCATTGTCAGGATTTCAGTTGGAATTTAATTGCAAGAGTAGAGCTACCTCGGGGGACTACATGTTTTCCACAGGCGAATTATTGTCACTACATAACAATCAGAGTGGGGATGACCACCTTGGAACTGAGGAGTTCCAACAGAGGGTCATTTCCCTTGAAAATGTTCCTATTTCACAGCAAGAGTCCTGGCCTGGCTCCCTGGCTGATTCCTCCTCCAGGATCCCCATCAATGATGTCTGTCTGCCCTTCACACCTCTGGCTTCCCAGATGGATTTGGAAGAGACCAAGCAGGAAGAGCACATTGGATTCTCATATTTTTTTGGTAGCACCATCCAACCAGCTCAGAGAATTATCTTCAAAAGCATGGAGACATTTCTCAAAGGGCTGGTGTCATCTGTCAGAAGAACAGGATGGTGGTTCCCAGGATGAATGAGACAGATTGGGGGCCTGCCTTAAAGGAACAACGTATAGTCCAATGAAGAAAATGCAGGGGGCAAGCCGTTGAAGGTGGTAAACACCAAGGGCAAATGAAGGGTGCCGTCATGGGGCTCTGGCTAATGTTGAGGGGCAGGGAAGAACATTCTGGAGCCAACTGGGAGAAAAGGTGGAGGAAGAAAGCTGCCCCAGATGGAAGAACCATTTGCACAAAATTCCTCGGGCAAGAGAGTCAATCACATCTGAAGGACTACAGAAGGCCAGTGTGGACATTCCCAAAGGCCTGGGGAAAGAAATCTTGCACGTGGCTAAAGAAGTAGCCATGCAGGCTGTGGGGGAGACTGGGAGCCAGGCAAGGGCTTTGGACCTTAGATCGAGAGCACCAGTAAGCTTCCCAGGGTTTTAGGTTGAGAAGTGACCTGACAAGATTTATTCATTCCTATTAGCTGCTCATTTCTTCTATTTTCTTTCTTTTTTTTGGGGGGGGGATGTGGTACAGGGATTGAACTCAGGGACACTCCGCCACTGAGCCACATCCCCAGCCCTATTTTGCGTTTTAGTTAGAGACAGGGTCTCACTGAGTTGCCTAGTGGCTCACTGTTGCTGAGGTTGGTTCTGAAGCCACTCTCGAAGCCACTTGAATTACAGGTGTGGGCCACCACCCTGGATGCTCATTTCTTCTCTATGGTCCCCAGCATCTTGAGTGGTCCCTCCAGTATGGTCTTGGAGACTCTCCAAGGACCTCTAAGCCTTGCTACTGAGCATCCTCTCTACAGACCAGCAGCCTTCAGAGTGGTCCAAGGTACATGGAGTTCTCAAAGGACAGCATCGTCCTTTCAAGTTTAACTAGTTCAAACAGATGGAGGAGGCATCCAGGCCCATCCCTCTGTCTGTCCTAATCCATGTTGGTGATCCGCATACCCTCAGGGACTGGGTCATGCCACCCATCAGAGCACAGCCATTTCAAGAACCAGAGGGAGAGAAAAAAGAGAGGCACAAAAATAAAAGAAAGCAGAACAAAAAAAGCAAACAGAAAAACATAAGCAGATCCACTTTCTCCAAGTGTCTTTTTCTATATTCATCCCCAACTATAAGGAAAACGTGTGTGTGTGTGTGTGTGTGTGTGTGTGTGCATGTGTGTGTCTATCGGAACACTCATAGCATGTGCTCCATTTTATACATAATGGCCCAGCACCTAAACAGCACGCCATGTGAGTGGCTTTTCTCATCCTCTGTGTGATGTGCCAAGTCCAGTGTTAGGCTGTGGAGCAGATAGGAATTAGCAGTTTACAGAGGCCACGGATGAAATGTGTGTATCTAATGACGAAGGATGTGATCTCCTCCATGTGGAAGGTACACGTTATATTTAGGAGCTTGTAATAAACTGCAAAATATCTCACAGGCTCTGCTGTCTACTAATGCCAAAGTCGTTGAGTTTTAGCATAGCACATGTCCCTGCAGAGAAGTGTGGCCATGGGACAAAATTCTGAGCAGTATCATGTTGGTTGACATGTGCCATTTCCCGGTCAGGATCTTAAAAGGAAAAGGTAGGACCTCACCTGGTCTAGTCTCCTTCACTAAGGAAACATGATACCTAAATAATAAACACTGTGTATTCGGAGACTACAAGGTCTACAAATATAAAGAATGACAAAATACTCCCTGGACTGTTACAAGTTGCTTTTGGGCAATGGATGGAGAGAAGAATAGACTTCCTTTTCATTCAAGTCGCAGGATTTTTTTTTTCTCCTGGTATCAGGGATTGAATCCAGGGGTGCTTAACTATGAGGCCACATCCCCAGCCCTTTTCATTTTTTTTTATTTTGAACCAGAGTCTTGCTGAGTTGCTTAGGGCCTCCCTAAGTTGCTGAGGCTGACTTTGAACTTGCAATCCTCCTGCCCAGCCTCGAAACCTGCTGGGATTAGAGGCATATACCACTGCATCAGACTCAAGTCACAGTATTTTTCTTTTAAAATAGCTTCTTTGTCCACACCAACTAATGAATAGTCAAAGAAGAGGGTGTGTTTGTCCCCAGATCAGAAACCGACTCAAGTGTCTCCTCATCTATATACCTCTGATCTGACCTATATCTGGCATTTCATAAGCGGTTGCACCATCTCTGATTTGTTCCAGCTTCATTTAATAAGTGGCCAATGAACATTGCATATTATAGCTATTAACCCTCCAATTGGACATAACTGTCTGCCTTCCCCTCCTACCTCCATGCTGGGTCTCAGGCTATTCTTTAGGTTTATGAAGGAAATCTTTCCCAAAATTTTGTCAAATTTCTATTCAAATTCAAGGCTCACTATCAATCTATTTTTGTTTTCCTGAAATATTCACTAGTTTTAGATAACCCTAATGTGTAGTAGTGTTAATTAAAGGGGATCCAGTACCTTCAGATTGGAATGGCTCTGACTTCCAGACATCACCTTTGGTAGATTCGCTACATTAGTCCAGGACCTCCAGACAGACAAAACTAACAGGCTAGATAGGAAGTCCCAGGAACTGCAGCTGGCAAGCCAGCAGAGCCACAGTGCAGTCCTGGTTCCCAGGTAGCAGGCTGGAGACTGGAGGGTGAAAGTCAGCAAAGACCCAGAAAGGCAAGGGGAGTTCCCCCTGATCTCTGGGCATCAGTCTTTCTATTCTATTGAGATCACCATCTGATTGGATGAGGGCTTTTCACATAAAAGGGGGTAAGCTCTACCTCATAGATCCACCTAGAAGTCTGTTTGACCACATTTCTAGGTACATCTCAGCTAGGTCAAGTTGACCCATAACATTAAACATTACACTTGTTGAGAACGTAAAGTTCTCAGAGAAGAAAAAGAATTTAACATTATGAAGCTCTTACTGTATGCTAGACACTAGATTGGATGCTTCTCTTACAGTTTTGCCTTTGGGAAGATAGGAATGAACAATTTCCAACTTACTAATGAGGAATATAAGGCTCAGAGAGGCTAAATAATGTGCTTAAAATAACAGTCCGGTAAGTGTAGACTGTGAACTTGAAGGTCATAAGATCTTCTCTTTCCTCTTGCTCTTCTCTGGGTCCTAATGCCTCCTTTTATTATCGAGCTAATTGTCAACATTATATGACAACCTATCTTTGTCCTTTTGTTCAGAGGGTACCTCTACTTGTGATGTCCTTTTCTCCATAGGCATATGTTGAAATCTTACCCATGTTAAGTAACTTTCCCAAGGTAAACTGGCCAAGCA